TGCAGTGTTCTGCAATCACACTGCAGTGATCTGCAGTCGCTCTGCAGTGATCTGCAATCACACTGCAGTGATCTGCAATCACACTGCAGTGATCTGCAATCACACTGCAGTGATCTGCAGTCGTTCTGCAGTGTTCTGCACTTTTCCATGTCCCCGTGTCTGGCAAGGAGTTTCGTTTCTTCTATCCAGCAAACAGCATTAGCTATTGTCATTCATCATGATGATCCACTCACGAGGCCAGGAAGCTACTTCGACCTTGTCATAACGCGGTTGCTCAAGGTTCTGCAGACCGTCTCGAGGACTGATGCCGTGAGTTACGGGGATAGCTACGCAGGTGATGGCGGAGAGGAAGTACGAGGTAACAATGGCTGCAACAGCAGGTCTCATAATTGGTTAAGAAGTGTGAGGGTTGTGTTGGTGGGAGATGATCACAGTCTTTGTTCTGGCCAGCAGAATGAAGAGGGAGGCGAATGATAACCCTCTATGCCAGCGTCAGGCTCATATATCACTTCGCTAGGTAAGTAAGGGAATATCCGAATTGTTTCATGCGTAATGAAAGTTTATGATACAATGATCACGCGGAACTGATGATAGATGATAATATCCACGACTCCATGATTGGTGTTGGCAGTGCATGATCACAGATCTGGTGGAAATGAAGTATGGAGGTGAATAGTCCCATGTTCAGATAGAATCACAAATAAAATAGGATCACACTGGGGAATTTTAGATTGAGATGTTGACTGCACTACACTTAAATATTTGCCTTGATTGGCTGCTTGCCCATCAGTAACAGTAGTTTCACTTTTGTCAGGGTCCGGGGTCGAGTCTCAGGATAACAGGCACTATTTATTCAGAGCAGCAGTGATTTAGTTACATACTGCCAATGTAATCATGACCGGAGGAGTTTGGGAGGAGTATGATAAATCAATTGAATGCAGTACCTGTACAACTAATTGTTGAGACTTTACATACGACTGTAAAAAACCTGTTACGACTCCGCAACATCCTGAAACTTTGCCGTCATGTACTCGATTGCTAACAGACAAGCAGACTCGAGTGATTTAGCCTTCCGTTGTACGTGATCTGGGACTGTGGCAGCAAGAGAATCTGCCAAGGCAAATTCCACATTCTGATGGACAATCTGCCATTTCTCCTTGAGTGAGACGTGGCCGGGTGGACCGGGAGAAGGGTCGGAGGCGGGTGGAACTGAGCTCCCGTGCGGTTCTGTGGCTGCTACGAGCGCTCGGGCAATTCTGGAGACGGCGTTGAGTTTTTCCAAGTATGAACTGTAACGAGTCCTCTCAATCTGCCCCACAAGAGTGGTAGCATCATGCAAAATCACGTCAATTTGTGTGACAGCCGCCTGAGCACGACTATGGATCCTGGCCAACCCTTCAGGAGAACGCCGAGATAATTTGTTGGTGTCAGTAGAAGGGATATCACGGGTTAATTGCGTGAGGATGGAAGTTTCGCTTGAGCCTGGAAATGGAATTCTGATCAGTCTTGAGTAGTAGATATTTATGTCAACACAATACCGTCAGACACTTGTGTAATGCTGCGAACATCAATGGAGGCATCCCGTTGAATGGGCTTTCCACTGGCAATCAATGCGGAGAGCATGAAGGTGGACACGATGCCTGTTATGAAGAAGGCTTTCATTGTGATAATGAGAGATTGCGTTGTGGACTGTTGTCGTTAACGAGAGCTTGTGTGAATTGTAACTTGGAATGGGAAGTTGTACTGGTTGTAGTTTTGATGAGGATGTAGAGTCTGTGTCTGGCCAGCAGAATGAAGGATCATTGAGTTACAGGTTACCTTATAAAGAGTATGAGGTAGTCACAAAACCTTCAAGAGAGACTACGCTCTGTGATTCCCTTGGCGTCCTTGATCATTGGCATCATCAAAACAATTCAAGTTAATCCATCTTTCTTCAGGGGAAAAATCAGGGTGTTGATGCAGAAGTGGATGCCATATGCGTTTCACAAGGAATCTGAGATGACAGCCTCGCACATGATTCATGAAAGGGCACCTAGAGGGTCATATAGCATGTTTACATATGACCATCATCGCAGGTGGGCTCGTCGCCTATGTTGTGGCTTGTTAGGCGACACAGTTTCTTGGAAGACACAAGTTGGTAACTGACCAGCACGGATGGGAGGAACTTGCGGCACAAGTATTCAAAGATTTAATGGATGTATTAAATGGGTACCTGGGCAAGGAAAGCACACGGAACAGTTGATAATTTGATGGGCTATGCTGTTCAAGTTACCTTTGGTGTACTTATTCTGATAACTGATCAGTTGGCAGTCGACAAAAATTGCCGTACTTATACGTACATACGGTGGCGTCTGTGTGGTGTTCTCCCCACTGATATTTCATTGTGGTAACATGATAAAGCCAAGTCCTGCTGAGGGATCAGAAAGGTTTGAGACGTCGTGACTATGGCTCAGGGACGAGATGAAGATTGTGATCAATCCGGTGGGGGTCGAAGTTTGTCGCATCACCTTGACAAGGGGTGATCAAAACCAGTTTCTTGGGTATCATACTTATACCCTTGGACAAGCATGCGTGGTCGTCTGAAGTCGTTGAGAGAACGCGCCCCAAATCGCTTTTGAAGAAAACAGTGCGACCAGCGAGAATGATGAGGTTGAACAGAATGGCATGCTCTGTGGCGCCAGAGTATCCTTCAAACATCCTGTAAAGACTCAGACCAAAAGCTACTGATACGATGTGAAACATCAAAAGAGGAACTGTCAGGACTCTTCTCTCGTACCGATCGCGATTTTATCCGCGTGTATATTGGATACGAAAAGGCGAACAGCAGAGCGACCGTTCATGCCTTTGGAAGGTGAGCGAATAGATAATGGGATGCCTGTGTCTTGTGGATAATAGTAGTATAAGCTGAAGAGGATACGATGGTGGTCTTCAGACTCGTTTCACGGACATGGGAGTTGGCTGCTTCCGACGCGAGCTGTGTCATGTCCATATCAAAAAGAACTCCAAAAAGAACTCCGGTACGGGGAATCGAACCCCGAGCTGCCGCGGTGCTTCACTAACTGTGAAAGGCGGCAATGTTAGCCGTTACACCATACCGGACCACGTTAGCCAGTGGCATCTACGACCTCTCATCGATATATCTGAGTTCCCTGATTGACTCGCATAGAGCGATGTGGCGTTCAAAGATCCATATTGGCCATGCCGACATTGAGTGGACCGATCCCGGCCCGACCGCCAAAGTTGATGATCCGGTGATCGGAGACGGACTGGAACTGAATATTATTTCGAACACTGACACCCTGCTGTCTAGACATCATCGTACTCCGTAAACTGCAGCTTTAAAACCAATGCTAGCAATCGTCCGCAAATTATGGCAACCACGTGGATGAACAAGCACCATGGATTCAAGTCTCTTCGCGGAGACGTGTGGTGGAGATTCTGAAGTTATACATCATCATTGAGAAAGGAAATCAGCGTCCGCCGTCAGAGAAACACTTCGATCTATACTCACATTCACTCATGAGGTACTCCCTGGGCCAATCTTGATAGGTTTCTTAACCTTTGTATCATCCTTCTTTCCGCCACCAGTAACCTTCGGCTTCTTCGGCTTCCTCGTCGTTCCTTGAGAGTTTGAATCTGCTGGTCCTCCCAGACCATGATCGATTCCTTCCTCCAAGTGGAAGTTTCCTTGGAATTTCTTGATCCAAAGTGGGAGTGCGACGACGTGGTGAATTCTATGTCTAAGCACTGCATGTTTTGATCTGACTTTTGTAGTGATTGTCGAAGATTTAACGTGGTGATGGACATGTGGAG